CTAGGTGTCGCACTGCTCTGAAAACATATCTATAGGGTCCCGCAGACTTCCATTGAGATATATAAGCACCGACAACAGGCAGAGGAGGCTAGTCTAGTTGAAAGTGCGGTATGAAGTAAGGTAATAAGGCGATTGACATTCGAGTTGAAGTTTTTGTGTTGTATTGTACTGACATTATAGTAGTGAAATAAAGTTGAATTGAATTGTACAGTGTGATCAATTGTTGAACAACGCACGGGGGAAACGTAACAATGTTTTTTCCTCGTTCTTTCGCGAACTATACTTGTGTTTGTCGACCAATTCAGCTGATATTGAATGTGATATTTGAAAAATTACTTTTACAATTATATGATGGAATCGGTCGATACTTGATGAAAATCCATAACTAACGTATTATAAAAACACTTTATTGTGAGATTTTCACTAGACATTTCAGTGTTTTCACTGTAGTTCAGTGAAGACACGCCCGAAGAAGCCGTTGTATGACGAAACATGTGTTGCGTTTTTGTAAAATTGTTTGTGAAAATATCACAGTGTTTTTAGAATACTTTTACAATTATTTGATTGATATTCTTGGGCAAATTAAGTCTGCCTTTGTCAATGTTTCTGACGAATCTGAAAAATCAAACTATGTGCAATATTAGGAAAAAGAGTAAACGTTTAGCAATTTTTTTTAATCAAGATACTATCAGGAATGAGCCGAGTGATGTACTGAGGTATTTTCTTGAATGTTCTCACTCCAAAAATGCTGGATAAATAAAAATAAATAAAATTCTCAACATGGCATAGTCTGTGACAAGCTTGGCTCCATAACGGTGCTTCACCTTTGATATAATTTGAAATAGCATATTTAAAATATTGGAGTGTAACTGGTTGCGAACTATAAAAAAACCTTTAGTTCCTCAAGAAAATCAATGGTATGCAAACCACCCCTATTACCAAATACTGGAAAATGATAAACTGCCTCTGCCTGGCTGTGGAAAGATCTATTTTGATTTGAGACACTATCAATCCTTAAATTAGAAAACTTGGCAATATTTCTTGCGAAACCATGATCTCTTTGCAACCCCATTTAGAAAAACCAATTCAGGAAAAAACTCTCCTTTATGCAGAATTGACAGATTCTTCAATACTCATTGCAATGATATTGAAAAACTGAGATTACCTTTCCTTAGATTTAAAAAGTATGTGAAATCTATTTTTATTTATAATTAGTTATCGGTTCTTCATATACTGTTTATTTAGTTTTTTGTTAATATTCATTACTATATAGGGTAATGTACTTAGCATTTATATTTTGTTTACTCACTATCTTTCATATGTAAAATGAGGATATTTTTTGGATTTATTCTGTTTGTGTCTCTATTTGTGTAATAAATAAATAAATCAACATTTAAATTGTTCAAATTGTTCGAGGTTTCACTTTATGGATATGAAGTCCCTAGAGTGAAATTATTCATGTTTCTACAGTTTTGAGCAGCAAAGGAAGCTGTATCCTTCGAAGGATCTACTATTACTTTGTTATTAGCTGCACAATTCACATTCATATTGTAAAATTTTCCTGACACATCATTTACAACTTTATCGATTGATGAGCTGAGTTCTACACTGGAATTTGAATTCAATGTAATTGTTGTCCATTAAGGTAATAAAAAAAATATGCATTGTTTGTTTGGAAGTGAACTGAGTTCTGTTCAACGTGGGTGCCTCGCGAGCTCACGATCGACTAAAAACAACAGGCTTGTTCTGGTTCTCTGCTCGGACTGTTCCTAACAGTCGCAAAACAGTCACCCAACATTTTGTCGCGTTAACCTTTTCAGTCCACAATTGACTCACTGATTTTGGACGATTCGAAACAGTACAACCTGAAAACCAGAACAAACCTAACGAATTGATGATTCTGAGCTGTGTTTGAAGTTGCTGTGTGTGAAACATGGCTCCATCATTTCACACACGGCCGGTAGCCGGACGGTTCGACGTGGTTGCTTTGTTCTCTCAGTCAGTCGGCCGATTTTCACTTGCTATCACACGTTAAAAGGTAAGACCTCGTTAGTTCTTAGCTCGCACAAGTTTCGACTTCTGAGGGTTAACGTTTGTAGGGGTGGGATAGCTGTTTAACAGAAAAAACATATTTTAAACATATATATCATTTCACACCAGAATCAAAACGATCGTTATCTGAGTGGACTGTACGTGGTGAACCGACTCCAAAGCATGCAAAGACGTGCAAAAGGTTATGGTATCAGTATTTTGGAATGTGCATGGTATAATATTCATTGACTATCTTGGAAAGGGAAAAACCATCATTAGCGACTATTACACAGCGATATTGGAACGTTTGAAGGACGCTGGAAATAAGTTCAGCACCAATGAAAAGATAATTATTGAAACTGAGAGTTACTATAGTAATGGGCTTTCCCAATAATGTGTTGTGTTGGATAGAATCGTACATGGAAAACCGCAGTTTGGTGGTTAAATGTAATGGAATTACATCAGTTCCTTATGATGTGAAACTAGGTGTTCCACAAGGGTCTGTTCTGGGTCCATTGTTATTCTTGACTTTTATCAATGACTTGCCTGAATTCATATCAGATTGTCACATAACTATGTACGCTGACGATACTACAATCACTGTTTCTGGAAAAAACGAGGATAAATTATNATGTTTTTAGGGTATATTTCAATGTTTATCGTGGTATTAGCCGGGAAAAAGATTGTTTTTGATAGGAGAGGAACTTTGGAAGGGGATGATGTTTCGAAATTTCATTTTGAAAAATTCATTTTCCCAATGAATTTTTAGTAAACACTTTCACAGTCTGACTTGAGAATTATACTTAAATTACATTCAACGTTGAAGTGTCTCAAATTATAAACAGAGCATGTTTTACAATAGGTTGATAACTTTCTTGAAAGAGATGTATTTGTCTATTTCATTAAAGACTATGTAATAACTAGTAACCCAACCAACTGAAACCATTTATCGCAAAAAATGTACCCTTTATCACAAAATCGTATATTTTATCGTATGCAAAACTCAGACAATACAAATAAATTAAATAAATAACTAATTCTACAGGATCACAAATATTTGAACAAAAGGAATGGCTTTCAGGAATGTAAAAAATATCACAACTCTATTACTTAGTTAGTTCCTATCGCTAGCATCATGTTCATCTACTTCGGACTTGATTTTTATTCTCTTCTTTTCAAAAGACTCCTCACCATTCTCTTCCAACATATATTTCTTTATACCATCTTCCAGAACATTCCGTAATATTTTGCTGTCTTTGAGAATATCCAACCCACTATCAGGACACGACCGTTTTCTGTTACTTTTTTTGGAGGCATCTTCATTATTGACAATATTTTTTTCTTCATCATTGTTGTTGTTCGGGAAAGCGACTCTTTGTATGAAACCGCCAATCATTGGAAGTAATGTTAATAACTGGGTTCCTACAAGTCGATGAAATTCTAAAGTCTGCTTATCTACTTCAAGCCTTTGTTTTTCTACTTCAAGGTTTTCTTTTTGAACTTGGAGGAGATCTTTGAGGAGAGCGGATACATCTGAAATGAAGAAAGAACATATAACTAGGTCTGTCTATTTATTCGAAAATAAGGGATTGAAGATATTTATTTTCATCCACATCTCAGATTGACTAAGTTCAATTTCACCATAACTTAATTACAGGGGAGGTTAAGTTTTCGTAGGAACGCCCTGTATACATTGCGAGTTGGTTGAATAAAATTTCAACTAGTTACTGAACATATGTACATACAACAAAAAAGGATAGACAAAGAAAACAAAACAATTTGTATTTACATAGCATAATCAACACTTTACGAAAATAGCCAACAAGAATGTATTTTAAAAAATTACAATATTGATTACATAAAATATATTGAGAGTCAGACACAAGTTGAATTGAAAATTACCTTGATGGTACCTTTGTAATAGTACTCTGTTGAATTATAATAGGCTGTCCCACAAAAAATCCTTTCCCAAGTTCCTGTTATGGCATGTACTTTTTAGATACGTGGAATATGATTGGATATTTTTAACCCATTATAGATAAAAGAGTCTTTAATGAGGAAATATTTTGGAATGGACGACTTGAAGTTGTTTTTTTTTGCGAGTGGCGTTTGCGTTAATTGAAAACCGATTTTGCTGTTTTACTATGAGACATATAGTTTCAATAATAAAAATCGATATTACAGTGAGGATTTTCTTTTCCTGAAACAGTGGTCTGCAAGAATCTCGTGGTTTCGTTTTACACAGGAAACGTAGAGCTCTTTTCTGTATAACTGAAATTGATTTCAATGTTGTCACAGGGATTTCATATCGTAGGTGAGATTCTGTATATGTAACTTTGGCAGCAGCAAATCCTAACTCATAAGATGTCAGCCTCATAGCGTAAGTCCCAGAGGATCAATGAATCAGTAGAGGAAGGTATTTTTCCAGACCAACTAAAAATTTCAAAAGTCGTGCCAGTTTACAAAAAAAGGGATCCCACAGCTATGGAAAATTATGTGTTCTGAGCTCTATCACAAAAATAATGGAAAACGTAGTTCACAACAGAACGGTAAGTTTTCTGCAACGAAATAATTTTGAAGAAAAGAGAAATTAAACTTTCTGTTTTTTACCACTTGTATTTGTAACTAACGTTATTGCAGTTTCGTCCTATACGGACATTTTCAAAGTTATACAATAAACTCCACGTAACCACGTATAGTAACGGCTACATCCATCAATTTACGAAATGATTTCTTGCCACATAACAAAACTTTTAATCGAAACAGCATCAAATGATATGATCCAATATATTTTTGATTACGTAAACAAAGGATATTATATAGTTGGCATATTTTTTGATCTAAGCCGAGCATTTGAAACAATCAACCCGAAGTATTTGAGTAAAAAGATCTATAAAATGGGAATAAGAGGGCCAGTCAATCAGTGGTTTGAATCTTATGTGAATCTTATGAATCTTATAGGAAAATAGTCGTTAAAGTCCACGACAATTATTCGTATCAATTTGATATGAATCTGGGGACCCCACAGGGAGGGGTGCTTGGACCAATATTATTTTTACTTCATGTTGATGTACTACCACATATTAAATTTTACAAAAAGGATTTGAAGCTTTATATCTTCTATTAATTATCTGCGAGCGCTTTCGACAGTTGGTAGTACTGTCATCTTCTAGGCACTCCTCAAGTTTGAGGTTAACCCCTTTTTTATGCTTAAGTGACTGGTCTAAAAGACCAATCTTCCCAATGGAAGATTCCAGAAAAAAAAAGCACACCATGTTCGATTAACTGTCAAGGTTTCGCTTTCAGTTTTCTTCGATTACCATGGCGTAGTGCATCGGGAGTTCTTGTCACATGACCGATTGGTCAATAAGGAGTATTATCTTGAAGTTATGTGCCGTTTGCGAGAAGCAATACGAAGAAAACGTCCTGTATTGTGGAAAAACCATTCATTGCTTTTGCATTACGATAATAAACCTGTTGACTCGTCATTGCTTGTTCATAATTTTTCAGCCACAAACAACATAGTAATCATTTCTCAGCCACCGTATTCACCAGATTTGACCCATGAAAGGAGATAAAAACCGAATTGCTGAGAGAGCTCAAGGACATACCAAAAAGGAAAAAACCGCTGGCGCAAGTGTATTATTTCTGAAGGAAACAAAATAGAAATTGATAAATGAAGGTATAATTTGAGGAAAAAAAAATCGACTCATTTCTTGAACAGACACCATACACTCATCAACTTACCTGGTATTGCATTATTAGAAAAATAATTGATACGTACCTTCCTGACCAAGAGACCCGATTCCTCCCATTCCTTCTTTCTTAGCAGGTGCACTGACTTGATTTTGATTAGGTAATCCGTTCAAAATAAGAAGTGGAAAAGGCAAAGACGGAGTAGTTGTTGTGTTTGTTCTGACATGCGTAGATATAGGGATTGGTATGTTGTTTGAAAGGGTAGGTTTGTCCGGCTGAGGCGGAGGCTGATTTGGTTTTGGTGCAATTTTAATGGGCTCTGCATTTTCTTTGGTTTTCTCTGGGCTTGGTGGGGATGGAGTGAGAGGTGGCATATGATGAGATTCATCTTCAAATTCGGCGTCGTCAGATCTAAAAACACGTTTAAACTATTTACAACAGAAGTTCAAAAATATTTTCACAATTTACAAATTTTTTCACAAGATGAAGCACACCCAGTTGATTCTTTAAAAAGCTGAGAGAAAATTGCTTCAAAAAACAATTTTTAGAGCTATGCCAACAATCATGTGAGGTATTACTGGCAAATCTTAAAATACCAACAAAGAAGGGAGGAGAGGTTTCCCACAATCACAGTACAAGACAAAAAGGTCTGAAACATTTAAATATTCCCCATCCTAATTCCACCCTTTATAAGAAATCGATAGTATTCAATGGCCCTAAAATTTACAATTACATCCCAGAATCCCTCAAAAATATTCATAGTTATAAACAGTTCTGGAAAAAGCTGATGTCCTTCATTCTCATGAACTCTAGAGCTCTTGAAGTACTCATAAAATGAACGCCAATTTATAATTCTCTCAGTTCCTCAATTTCTTTTAATATTACTTTAGTCTCTTAGCTCCTGTTAATATCAGATTATTTTCTTTATTATTATATTATTTAGGCTTATAATATATCACATATCAAATTAGTTCAAACACTAATTAATTTGTACTATTTAGGCACAAGACGATCTCATTGAGATCAGGTGCACTCATTGTGTAAAAGAAAACTCTAATGTAATGAAATTGTATTATTATTATTATATTTTTTTAAATCTAATGTAATGATATTGTATTATTATTATTATATTATTATATATGATGAAATTAAGTATCGTCTAGGAGGAAAGAATATTTGAATATTCCTTTTCAAAACTTAAACAATTTTTTGTAAATGTTGGTCCAATTTGTTGTCGACTATTTATTATTCAATACACATCCATTTTCCTATCAATACTTTAAGTTTTTACGAGCTACGGATGAACGGATGAAGAGAAAGCTGAAAATGAAATCCTTCAATAAGATAACAGGAAAACTTGAGATTAAGTTACTCAAATTATCCAATATTAGTTATCAATCAGATATTTTTTTCATATAAACGTAAAATTGCTGAAGTTGAACCAGTCTTTGAAACCGGTAAAAAAGAAATTATATATATGACTCTTACCCAATATCTGTACAAAATTATATAGAAAAAGTTGTTGAGTTATTAGGAAATATCTGAATTAAGATACAAGGAACAATATGGATGCCTTAGGTTGCAATGTTGGATCCGTTCACAAAAATCTAGTGGTCATTATTATCAGAAATGTGGATTCATAAGGTCTTGCAACAGGGACTTTGACAATTGATAACAGCCATCTTGTTGAAGCTACATCTGTCAACGACACTTGCAAATAATGAAAATATTTTATCAAAATGGGAGCACCATAATAGTCCTACCGAGAGGAGTATTCGCAATGTGGTGGATGAATTTGAGTCCACTGGTTCGGTAAACTGTCGACCAACACCTGTACGTCGATGAAACTCAAGATCTGCCGAAAACATCGCCACTGTCTGTGAGAGTGTGCAGGAGAATCCGAGGCAGTCGATTTCGCGTCGCTCCCAAGAACTCGGCTTTTCGCAGACCACAACTTGGCGAATTTTGCGTCGTGACAAGGGCCTGCACCCGTACAAAATTCAACTGACCCAGTAACAACTGAAGGTGAACGACCTTAGACAAATGACAAATGGGCTCTAGAGCAGGTGTCAACTGATTGAGTGGGTCTATTCGACCCTCCACCGCAACTCGTAAGGGTTTCTTGCGGCTCACACCTATTCACACTCGAGCAAATAAACCCAGATTCTTAATTAAGGTTATTCCAAAATATTATTTTATTGTTAGAATAATTTATCTACGTGAAATATATCTATATCGATGTATAACATGTTACATAGTCTGCTAACTGTAGATTATACGGCAGTAATAACTTTTAGATAAAAATACCACTCATCCCGACAGAATATAGAAATGGATAAAATCAGCATTTTGTAACTTATGAAAAAGGCAACTATTGGAATAATAGAATATCCTCACTTGGTGAACAATTACCATGCAAAATTCCACTCTCAGCTTTTAGTTTTCCAAATTTCTACTTGAATATATGAATATTTTTTCTGTGGTGTCAAATGGATGAGTATGCAATTTTTGAATAGCCACAATCTTTAAATCTGATACAGTCTATGAAATGGCGAATGAAAGAGAATACTAATGTTCTCCGCATTGTAATGATACAAATTTAACGGTTTCATAGACCTTATTGAAATTTATATTATTGATAGTCGACACATTCAATGTCATTCAGACAGATATGCCTTTAACTGTTCTGAACGTCTTGCATGATTTTTACTTACATTTTTCTGACTAGAATCATATTTCAACACTTTGAAACTATATTTTCTCAAGTTTATCAATTTCAAGCAATTCCACAAGTTCAGAGTAGTTTGCTTCTTTACACAATTTGCCATTTGAAAACACTCAAACTGATTTGATATCCGTAGTCATGGATTGATACATTTTCGAAACATGTTTTCAAATCGCTTGATTTGCGAAAAATATTCAAAAGCTACAATGAATTCGTCAGTCAAATTTGTAATTTAAAAAAAAATCAAAACACCATTGTACTATTCGTTGTTTGTATTTCGAATAGAGATACTGAGCATTTTAGAAACAACCAGGCTGAAAATTAATAATAAATATTGTAAAGCTCACCCATTCAAACTGTTGGTAGTGTAGGATTCCATATCGTCGTTGATATCAATTTCATCGTCAATAATTTCCTGCTTGATGTCCTCACATCGTGGCCCCTCAAAAATGTTGTCCTTGTACAGGTCCTGCGGTCTGTTGGTATTCCTCTTGCTCAGAATATCATCCATCGCTTTGTAATGGGGCCAATCAGGATCAACGGTTCCAACCCCTACGCCTGTCTGTACAGATCTCTTAATCCTGTGATAGAGGCATTTGAGATTTCGCAGCCTCGTCTTGATTTCATCGGGGGTTCTGTAAAATCCACGATGTTGCATATTGGCTGCCAAAAGCCTCATAACCGGAGCTTTCCGATGAGTTAGATACAGTTTGTTTTGTATTTGGGGGCTACCCCACAGTTGAATTAACATTTTTGTTTCGTCCTCGCGGAAATTTGTTGTTCTTTTCTTTTGCAAGACTCGCAATGGGGCTTGCGAGTCCATTTTGGTCTGGGAAATAATTAATTTAAATTACTCAGTAATTTCTCCCTTTTTTGAGTTTATTGACTAAACAAAATTTGTGAGCGATCGTCTTTTTGCAACGGTTTGAGTTTTGAGGTGACAAATGAGGCTATGAACAAAAGTTAAATCAAAAACTGACTTTCCACTTGTGCGGAAGAGAGCCATTTCGATTTTGAAAAGTGAAAACGTCATTTTATTTTCTATGAACCACAGGTATACTTCCCAAAAAGTTATTTCATTCTAATATTTGGTTATCATCTACATTCTTGTAACTACGAGGACTGTTGAAAAAATAAAGTGAATTTCCCTTTCTTTAAACAATATTTATTTATTCATCTATTTCTATTTCGTCTCCTCAGATATATTACACTTGTACCACCGACGCATAACTTCAAGAGAATATTTGTTTGAAGGTAGTTAACAATGTTTCGTGGTGAATTTCATTAGTTCGGACTTCCATTGTCTAATATGATATAAATTGATTTGAAATACCTGAAAGAATCTGTAAAAAATTTAAAAAGAGATTAGCTGAAAAATTACGATTATATTAAGCAAAAAAAAACTGAAATTACAATGAAATAAAATACAAGTAACAACCAAAAAATCAAAAGAAAAATGAAACTATTAACACGAGATGAAAAATTAAAAAAATATTAACAAGAAATGAAAATTGAAAATTGAATAGATAGCCCTGAAAGGGCTACGTAGAAACAAGACCATCAAGATCTTACCTGCAAAAAAAGGGAAACGCTACTGTTGTGATTAATGCTGATCTCTACGAACAAAAGATCGAAGAGGTGCTTCAGAAAAAAAAAATACAGGAAGATCGTCAGGGACCCTACTGCATCAATTGAAAAGAAGTTGTACCAGACGTTGTAAAAACACCCAGTCTATTTTTCGGAAAAAGAGAGATCATCGCTAACACCGCACCACAGTAAGCCCCCTCACTTGTATGAACTACCCAACATCCACAAGAAGGTTGTTCCGCTCAGACCGATCATTAGCTCCAGAGATTCTGCCACTAAGAACGTGTTCAAATTTTTTACTACCAATAATTAAACCACTGTTAGGAAAAACACCATCCTTTATGAAATATTCAAGGCATTTTGTTAAACTACTAGCGGCAATCGAAGTCGAAGAGCAGGATCAACTGATCAGTTTCGACGTGGAAAGGCTTTACATCAACGTCCCTGTCGAAGAAGCACTTCAAATCCATACAGAGGAAGATGGGGGCCTGAAAAATAGAACAAACTTACCGATACAAGTAATCATGGAATTACTAGGATGCTGTGTACGAAACTGCTACTTCCAACTGAAAGACGAATTCTTTACGCAAGAGGAGGGACTGCCAATGGGATCGCCACTTTCACCGGTTATAGCCAATATATATATATGGAGTGGTTTGAAACTCTGGCTATTAAAGCCCATAAGAAGCCGCGAGTCTGGCTGTGATACGTGGACGACACCTTCATAATATGGAACCATGGGAATGCTAAACTAGAAACCTTCCTGAAGCACATCAACAACGTGAGTCCTTCCATCACTTTCACAATGGAGAAGGAAGTCCACAACGAATTGCCATTCTTGGATGTATTGGTGACGAGGACCGACACGAAATGGAAAACATCTGTGTATCGAAAAGCAACTCACACAGGACAGTATCTGAACCAGGAATCCAATCACTATCAATCGACAAGAGAGGAATACTCAAGACACCACTAGACTGTGCTTTCGGCCTCTGTAATACAAAGGAAGGTCTCGAAAAGTAACTAGGCATCATCAAAAATGACTTTCAAAGAAATGATAACTCCAAAGGGATGGTGGAACAGGCTTTAGCTAGAAGACATCAAGAGCTCCACAAGGAAGAGAAGCAGCCACAACCAGTACCTACTTGTACTTCCTCACATCAGATGATTGTCGGAAAGGATAAGAAGGATTGGGTCCAAGTATTACATCAGAACCTTCTTCAGATATAGGAACACTATCCGTAGCAGCCTCACAGAAATCAGGCCAACAAACGCGGACTGCGATTCCAAGATTGCATTTACCGGATACCCTGCGAGTGCGGAGAATCATACATCGGTGAAACTAAGAGGCCATTGAAAGTTCGCATTGCCGAGAATAAGAAACACACACAGCGAGGAGAAACCAGCAAATCAGGAAAAGCAGAGCACGTTTGGACTCATCAACATACCATCAAGTGGGCTCAAGCTGAAATCATCCACGAAGAAGAACACTGGTTTAAGAGAAAATTCAAAGAATGAAATGTTCAAGATAATACTACTTATTGGGCTCTTCCATTGAGACGATTGGACTTTGGCTTCGATATCATAACCATATACCCATGATTCGTCACCAGTTATGACATCAAAAATTCCTGAGCGATGCTCATGCGACGGTTTTTTTTGTCAAATTCAGCTATTTCGGAACGCACTTCGCTGCCATATCCTTCATCCCCAAAATTTCCGAAAAAATTGCATGTCATTAGCCAACCGATAAGCAGACATCCCCAGCAACTTCTTCAATAGTGATTCTATGATTCTCCGTAACAATTTTCTTCGCTTTCTCAACATTTTCATCGGTTGTTGATGTACTGGGGCTTCCAGAGCGAGTGTCATCAGTTACACCTTTCTCGACCTTCTGTGAAAATCTTGTACCACTTGTAAACATTTTTCTGACTCAGAGTACAATCACGGTATGCCACTGTTAACATTCTGAGTGTTTTTGAGCACTTAATTATATTCTTTATACGAAATTTGATGCAAATTCTTTGATCCAATTTTTTCGATAGCAAAAAATCACTCGCAAAAGTTTTATGCTTCTCACTAACAAACTAAACATGCTTAACAGCTGAAACTGTAAACATATGTTCGAAACAAGTTTACCAACATAAAAAAATTGCTAACCGAATTTACGTAACCGCGAAATTTGAACATTCACCATATTTTTTGAACAGACCTCGTATATAATATGCTTAAAATAAAGAAATTGCTCATTTTTTGATATTTTTGGCTTCCATAATCTGAAAATAATGATAATTTCACTCAGCAGTGAAAAAGGCAAGCTTCTATGTCAGAATTATAAGTAAATAACAATATACTTTTCTCATACAAAAATATCAAATTTAATTTTGCCTTTCAAAAAATAGCTAAATATAACAAATGTGTGAAAAAAGATAAAAAATAATGATGATATTTATTTAATTTTCAATAATTTCTTAACGAATAAATCTACCCTAGTCATCAAGTTTAAATAAAAAATTGTTGCAACGATTTACATGAATAAGAGGAAATTTGATTTTTTTATCCACCTTTTTTGGGTATTTTCACCTTCCACAATATGAAAACTCCTTTGACATTTGTCGAAGAAGTTGAGAAATAAATAATCAGGAAAGGAATAACTGCAAATATCTTTGATTTTTTTGTCCATTTCTGAAGACGGAGGCAGATTTTGGCCTCCGAAACGTTATATAAGTATTGTATTATTTCTTAGCAATTTTTTTGATAGGCAAAATTGTTAAATACGACAAGTTACTGATAAATAGAACATTTTTCATTGTGAAAAATACTTTGATTTCACGCAGTTACTTATCGGGGTAAACTGAAAAGTTTGCCCTTTCTACACTTGTATAAAGTTCTCCATTATACTTTTCATACTTCTCAGATTTTGGAAGGCAAAAATACCAAAAAAGGTCGATAAAAAACTGTTTTTCCTCTACAAACAATGACTTTCGTTGAAGAAATTTAATTTTTCAGAATACTAGTTATGTATATCCTTTTTGGACTATTTAGTGAAAATTTTCGTCAACGCATGTTCAATATTCAATTGTAACCTGAATATGATAAAACTGAAAAGTGATTAAGTTTGGATTTGGATTTTNAGAAAGTTTAATCCATGCATTTTATTATGATATAAAAATTTGCATAATGAACAAATAGTTAACTATATTATCATTTGAATTGAAGGGTTTATATATATTTTTAGGAGTGAATAATTTTTTTCCAAAAAATATATTATCATTTGATACTAATGATATATTATCAAATTATTTCATATATTTCATAAAATATGTAGTTTATGATTGTATATTCTTGCATACAATGATTATAATTATAACACTTTCAACGTGCTATAGGAGTCGCACGTTAAAAAGTAAGACCTTTCATCATCTTTTAAACATCTTTATATTGTGTTAATTTTATTTATTGATTGTTCACAATTTTATACATAAGTGTTATTGGTCAAATAATCATTTTGAATATTTTTATTCTTGCTTCCTGAAAGTTTCGTACCTTGTAAACGTCATGTAAATTACTCATTGAGAAAGTTCATACAAATATCACAAGATATTTTTCATTTTTATTACCTTTCGACGTATTTTTTGTAGTAAAATAATTATACTTGGATCTTTGAGTAAAAAAGTTTCGGATTCTTTCGAAGGTAATACCTACACTCCGTAGTCCAGTCATTTTAGGTCGATTTAGGCCTGTATTTCAGAAAGTTGACATACCCAGCTGTAAATTCATATAAACTTTGTATTTTGGCATCATAAAAGTATTCTCAAAATTCACATATGATTCGACGGCCATAACCTCAAAAATTGGGGGTCAAAAGCCAAAAAAACGACTTTTTTTGCCAATATCTCGTTTCCAATGGGTTTTATGCTAATTGTATTCATCATCAATATTGTAGAGAATTAAATTCTCTACAACTCTTTTACAAACATTTTTTCATACGTTGAATCGTTTTTGAGATAAAGGGCAGCGCGGGCGCAGATTAAATATTATTTGAAATCAACTGGTTGTCCCGATCCAAACCAGCTCATTTAAGGTTTATAAATCATTACTTTATGAATAATTATAAATAATTGTACTTTTGTTACATTCTGAGGGCCATGGATTGAATACAGATGTTTTCTCGATGTGTTAATTTATTTTTCTTGATAAAAAATTACACGACTGCTGATTTTTTTGTGAAACACTAGTGGTAAGAATATCTAGCCTTCATTCTACATTGATTCCTTATCTAACAAACTATGCAATACTCACTTTATCTCGTTATTTCCGGC